ATACAGACTCATTAGGACCATATACTTGGTGCAGGGTCATTAGGACTACATACTTCGTACAATGTCGTTAGGCAGACATACTTTATACAGGGTCATTAGGACTAGATACTTGGTTCAGGGTCATTAGGACGAGATATTTTGTACTTGAGTCATAAGGACTAAGACTTATCACAGTGTCCTCAGGACGACATATTGTATACAGGGTCATTAAGACCATTTACTTTGGAGATGTCATTAGCACAAGATATTTTTGCATGGAAAAATATAAGGTCATTAGAACGAGATGCGTCGTGCAGTGATACTTTGGGGTCCTTTGCACAAAGACGGGATACAGGAGACAGCCTAGATATCGTAGATGGGGTTATAAGAAGATCCTGTGTACAAGTATGTGATAAATACATGCTGAGTACAGGATTGTAAAAAATTGTAGAGGGCTAACTAGATACTGTAGAAAGGGTTATGAGAACATCCCGTGTACAGGGTTGTGATAAATGCATGCTGTGTACAGGGTTGTGTTAAATATATGCTGCGTACAGGATTGTGATAAATATAAGCTGTGTAGAGAGTTAACGAGACACCGTAGACAGAGTTGTGAGAAGATATTGTGCACAGGAAGGATAAGTACATGCTGTATACAGACTTAACAAGATACCGTAGACAGGGTTAAGAGAAGATCCTGTTTACGGGGTTGTGATAAATACGTACTGTGTACAGGTTTACTGGGACTAGATACATTGATAGTTAGCCCTATCCACAGGTAATGATATCGTTGATACAACACCTTATCTATGTATATACAGAACATACATATGGAAAGTAGGGAGTGTCTGAGTTTAGTTGTACGCCGCTTGTAACAATATTCCAGCAATACCAGAAATGGTATTGATAAATTGTACCTTTGTGGGGAATCGAACCCGGTGGGGCGAGCGAACACTTCAACCACTATGCTATCCAACCACCCCACATGTATAGTAGGTACATGTACAATGGAATACGAACGTTAAATCGACTGTGAAAGATAGCACATGAAAAGCATCCAATTATGTCTGACCGCTCGTTCCCCTGCAATTACAATAAAGCTTCGTGTGAATGTGGGTTCTGTAATGCTTCGACATTCTTTCTCAACGAACCCAACATTCCAAGGCCTGGTAGCACATCCAATCAACAACCGTGGGATGACATGCATGTTCGTGAAGCCCGGAATGAGCGCTGCCTTTCTGAACCACTTGCATCGCTCCCGCCACCAAGAGCAGCCTCGTGGTTAAACTTGTCTAGACATTTCATTGGTCAATATAAACGTACAATGAAACGACAAATTGTCTATCTAATCCATTGGAATTCGTACCAAAAGCAAGACTAGGAACAATTGGCTTTTGCTTATTTTGGGGTGCACTGTAGAAAAGCTTTACTGTTGCCCAAAGGGTTTCAATCACGAGTTGGTCGCACCGATTCGTACTGACCAAATTCAGCGGACATAAATGCATTTGCAAATATTGTTGTCCATCCACTAGCGCCAGAAAACAGGATAGCATGTGATGAATGTCATACAATATTAACCAACCTTATAAGAGAGACCATCTATGATAACTCAAGTCTAATTAACTTTTGCTACTTTCGCAACGGCAAGTGAATGAGGGAGTGAGTGAAGCTTTATGCTTCTGCTGGCAGTATGCCTACACTGTCACGGAGGAGTCCTCAAGAATGGAAACGGGGGGTGGCCTTAAGGTGAGTAGCAACCACGTCAACCACAAGAGCATCCACCAACTCCCCTTGCTCCTCACGCTCTTGGTTGTCGTTTGTTTGCTTGTTCAATACCACAGTCAGTAATATTCAATCTAAATGACTGCGGTCTGTAGATAATCTGGACCAGACAATCCAGTGATTGACACAATGATCATCGATCTACGACTGTCGGTAGTAAAAATATAACACGGTATGTCCCCGATCTTCAGCACAGCGAGTTTAACAAAGAACAATTTCCTGCATGCAACGTGTATGTTATATGACTTGATGGTTTTTTGTATAACGCCACACTCTGCAATATTCCAGATATATGGCTGGGGTGGAGGGGGGTGGGGTACACTATTTGAGACATAGACAAGACGTTATACAGTATATACACTATTTATATGTGACATATACAAAATATAATACATAGCGTAGCCACAATACATGCATAACGTATATTTGATGTGTTCAAAATAAATACATATATGTAAACACAACATATACATTATGCACACATAATGAACATGTATAAAGATAAGTATACATACACGCAAATACATATAAGTATGCACAACATATATATACTACAGACAACGTATACACAATGCATACATAATATATATACATCCGTATTCACAACATATACATTACGTATACAACACATACACAGCGTATGCACAATATACACATGACGTGAACACGGCATATATATATACATATGCATATAACGTATACACTATGTATACATTACGTTTACAAAATATAAACACCACGTATACACTATGCATACATTACGTATTCACAATATATGCGTCACGTATACACAATATATGCATCACGCATACACAGTCTATATAAGACGTACACTAAATATATACATAACGTACATGTTGTATGTACTTCACGCACACACAATACATGTATATACTTCACGTATACACATATAATACACATATATATACTTCACGTATACACAAATATATACATCACGTATACACAATATATACGTATACAATATATACTTCATGTATACACAATATATACTTCACGTATACACAATATATATATCACGTGTACACAATATACTTCACGTATACACAATATACGAATCACGTATACACAATATATACATCACGTATACACAATATATACATCACGTATACACAATACAAACTTCACGTATACACAATATATACTTCACGTATACACAACATATACATCACGTACACACAATACATACTTCACGTATATACAATACATACTTTACGTAAACACAATATATACTTCACGTATACACAATATATACATCAAGTATACACAATATATACTTCACGTATACACAATATAGACTTAACGTATACAATATATACATATATATCACGTATACACAATATATGCATCACGTATACAAAATGCATACTTTACGTACACACAGTATATACTTTACGTATACACAACATATGCATCACGTACACAATATATACATCACGTTTACACAATATATACTTCACGTATACACAATACATACTTCACGTATACACAATATATACATCAAGTATATACAATGTACACATCACGTATACACAATATATACATCACGTATACACAATATATACTTCGTGTACACAATATATACATCAAGTATATACAATGTACACATCACGTATACACAATATATACTTCACGTATACACAATATATACTTCACGTATGCACAATATAGACTTCACGTATACTCAATATACACATCACGTATACTCAACGTATACTAGTACATAACGCATATATAGCATGTACATCCAGTATACACAATATACACTTCACGTATATACATCTGTTCTTTCACCACCTTTAAGGCTCCACGCCAGACTGGGTCTCAATGAAATTACAACTGTAAGTCCTGTACATGTTTTCAAAAGCTACGGGGAATCATTTACATTTCTAAACAAGATTTTACACCCACTACACTGCTACATCCAGCTTCAACACGGCATAAAGCCTTTCACTTCATCATGTACTAACTGGACACATGCTACTGTCATTCCGCTATGCGTTTCACTGCAGTGCCTTAGATACGTTAATGTAATATACATTGCCTGTAGAGGCAGTCAACGATAACATCAAGGAAATTTAATGATCGAGACACACTTTCATCATCTTTGACGGATAATCTCACGATCAATACGCTCTGGCAAAAAACATTAAATTGTTTCAAATTTTCGTTCAGGGCGATAAAAATTGATGCACCCGAACAATTTCGAGCTATGTAAATTCTGAAACAGGAAGTCAGTGACTCGTGGCAGCTGACCATCCGTAAGTTTCTTTATTTCTTGTTTGATAGAAAAAAAATCTGTTATTGGATAAAAAGTACAGAAGACGGAATGCATCATTACTATTGAAGGACGGTCGATTATATATTAGTTTGGAACACGAATCTCTACTGAGGCTAGGTGGTGATTACATGAAGCTTGTTTGGTGATCGAATTCTGTGACGTCAAATGCCTATACCTTCACAGTTCGATTTTTGAAGTTGCTATCAAACAATGTTAAAAAACATACACTTTGAAATTCATTATACTTGTATCTTAGAAAACAATCTAGAGAGGCTAAAGCTTCAGAACGTGTCAAATAGAAAAGATACCTTGTTGGCTTATAGTAAGCCATGCAAAGAAACTGTAATTTCGTCTCGTAAACTGATTTTAGAAAATACAATTACACTGCCGGTCTTTGAAATGAGGGTCTAGGTATAGTCACACAGTTAGCGGATGCTGTTTACTTAGATCTTCAGCTTCGAGATCCCGTCTGCCCAAGGCTCACATCAAAGCGTTAACGCTCAAGTCAAATGGTATCGAGAGACGATAATATGGCAAATAGGATTTTCCCAAGGCGGGGACGGAAAGGCTCTTTTACCACCTGCCAGGATTATTACCGATATTTATGCAGCGGCTTTCCAAGAAACCTTCCGGTGAACATGGATTTCTGTGACAATTAAACACTCCAATAATGTTCATGATCTATATATTCCAAAAACAGACATCTTGTCATGTTTATTGACATAACAAATCTTCCAATATGGCAACACAAATCCTTTACGCAGACCGTCCGATTTGTGTCAGAAAGTGATTAAGAGAACCCTATGAATGTTGAATATCAAATAACGTCGATAAAACAGTGTCAGAAGAAGGAGAAGAAAAGCAAATAGAAATGAGATTTCTAAACAGTAAATGCTTTGAACCTATAAAAAAATCTCGTTGATCGTGTTTGGAAACTCACCTTTTAAACATAATCATCCCTGTGTCGTCCAAATCATGTTCTATAGCTTTCCAGCTCTTCCGGACAAGATCCACTTCTTCATTCGTGAGGTAATTGTCAATTTCGTTTTGTTCCTTCTTCGCATCACTGGATGTATTGCAACCCATGATACACCCAGCCTCTCGCCGACTTCAGCGCGAACAGTAGTCAATGGGATTGATTGTTGTGCTGCGAGTATATTCCTAGCAAGTTACCTGCCAACGCAAAAGAATCCGTCATTATATCTCCATATCAAAGAACCTGTGGTTTCCACGTTTCATGTGTTGTGTCTAGCTCTAATAAGTGGACGTCACTGCAGCCACAGCCTCTCGCGCGTTAAAATAAACCTTGATTTTACACAACACTCAGCTTATGGGTTATACACACACTGGGGTGTCCCGCCTTGAAATGTATCCACTCCTGGCTAAACAATCGTTAAAACATTTAATTGTACACTAACTTGAGAGAGACAGTAGCGTTCAGTATTAAAGGAACAGCGCTATCGTAGCAGTACTGAACTGGCTTGCTCCTCGTCTCCACACCATAGTACTACACGCGCGCTGACCAACCAGGCCTCTCGTATGCCCCTGATTAACGTCCTCGGCTAAATCGGCTGATCCTTTTTCATCGCAATTTCGGTATTTGTCGCCGGGATCCTTGCCATTTGACGGTGTTTCTTTCTGAATTAAAACCTGGTTAATCCACAAGCACTGTAGTATCTGGCGCGAAAACGAGTCTCAATTTAGGAGAGTGGCCAGAGTCGATTGTAGCTTCTCTCTCTTCTAACAAGCATTTGATGTCTGAGAATGAGCTTTCTGCAGCGCTACTCGCCGAAGGGATAGTCTCAAACCTGGGAAAAGTAAATTAAGCATATGGTCGGGTCAGCTTTGAATTTCATCAGTTTTTTGTTTGGGTTATAGTTTCCTGGTGGGAATTATTTTTTCGATGTGCTTGCCTGCATCTTCAAAAGAAGAGTCATTGATTTGCATCTGCTTGACTGATATACCCAATACTACGCTAGTTATAACTTGAATTTAAACAGGTTTTACATCTAATTCTGCTGGGGCAAATCATTCTTATGAAAATCCAGGCTACTTCAACACGTTCTTAAACTGATTACAATATTGAGGTTCTATTGGCCCGCACACCGCAACACCGGTGTGTTGCTAATATATATGTGTTGCTGTTTCCTGTTTTGAATAGTATAAATGGAATGAAATGAGTATTATAAGCGGTTTATAATTATTGTGTTTCTTTGTTTGTAGATTTATGTATAATTTACAATACTTTGGATTTTAATGTCGGCCGAGTGAGTGAGTGAGTGAGTGGGTGGGTGGGTGGGTGGGTGAGTGATAGTGATTGAGTGAGTGAGTGAGTTATTGATTATTTGAGCAGTATTAATGAAATTTGCCTCAGAAATGGGCTTCATACATCATACCCATTCCTGGGTCTTCGGTGTGACGAGCAAACTAAATACCGGACAACCCCATGGCCCCTAATTAGGAAATTGCAATGTGATGAAATATATAATTGGTAATATCACAAATTCTTTATCCCAACGAAAGTATGTGCATTCCCATTAACCCTTTAGATTCCCTCTGTGTTAAACAACACGTGTCCACTGTATGAAATTCACTCTGAAGCCCATCACATCACCACCGATGTAACATAAAGCCATCTCTTTACCCAGTCGTATATCAATGCTATAATGTAAGATTTACATTCAAATATCTCAAATATCAAATAAAAAACTGGCCTGTACACATTCGGCGTGGCCTGAGTTGAATATTTGCTGGAAAGTCATTTCCGTTTGATTGTGAGTCATAATTTTATGTTCACAAATCAGCTCTCATTACCATTATAAAAACATCAGGAAGTTAAGAGATATCTCGTGTGATGATGTGAGATATCCCTTGTGATGATGTGAGATATCCCTAGTGATGACGTGAGATATCCCTTGTGATGAGGTGAGATATCTCGTGTGATGATGTGAGATATCCCTAGTGATGACGTGAGATATCCCTTGTGATGATGTGAGATATCACGCGTGTTGATGTGAGATATCCCTAGTGATGACGTGAGATATCTCGTTTGGTGATGTGAGATATCCCTAGTGATGACGTGAGATATCCGTGTGATGATGATCCCTAGTGATGACGTGAGATATCCCTTGTGATGAGGTGAGATATCCTAGTGTGTGAGAAGATGTGAAGATGTGAGATATCACGTGTGTTGATGTAAGATATCTCTAGTGATGACGTGTGATATCCCTTGTGATGATTTGAGATATCTCGTGTGATGATGTGAGATATCACGTGTGATGATGTGAGATATCTCGTGTGTTGATGTAAGATATCCCTAGTGATGAGGTGAGATATCTCGTGTGATGATGTGAGATATCCCTAGTGATGACGTGAGATATCCCTTGTGATGAGGTGAGATATCCCTTGTGATGAGGTGAGATATCCCTTGTGATGAGGTGAGATATCTCTTGTGATGAGGTGATAAATCCCGTGTGAAGATGTGAGATATGCTCTGTGAAGATGTGAGATATGCTCTGTGATGATGTGAGATATCCCGGGCCATGATGTGAGATATCTCGGGTGATGACGTGAGATATACCATGTTATGATGTCAGACATCCCTTGTGATGATGTGAGATATCCCGGGTGATGGTGTGAGATATCCCGTGTGTTGACGTGAGATATACGGTGTGATGATGTGAGATATCCCTTGCGATGATATGAGATATCCCATGTGATGAAGTGAGACAAACTACGTGATGATGTGAGTTTTCACGGGCGATAAAATGAGATATCCAAACTGATAATGTGAGAAATCTCATGTGATGAAGTGAGATAACCGTGTGATGAATTGAGTTATCTCATGTGATGATGCGAGATGTCGCATTTGATGAAGTGAGATATCCAAAGTGATGAAGTGAGATATTTCATGTGATGAGGTGAGATATCCCATGTGCTGACGTGAGCTATTCCATGTGATAATGTGAATCTACTTTAATGTGACGTGACCTGAAACGAAATTCCTTCAGTCGGCAGAGTTGCTTTAACGACGCTGAATTGTAGTTACATGTCAACGTGTCACCATGATGAGGAAGAAACACCTATAGTGAATCGGATGCTTGGCTTGGGCTACATATTGTTGACAAGGCGTCACTCAGTGATATATAATATACACTTTAACGGAAAATGCATGGTACATATTTCGTGTGATGAAGTGAGATATCCCGTTTGTTGATGTAGGATATCCCTTGTGATGCTGTGAGATGTCCCATGTGATGAAGTGAGACAAACTACGTGATGATGTGACACGTTTCATATGATGATATGATATATCCCATGTGATAATATGTGATATCCCATGTGATGATATGAGATGTCTCATGTGATGAAGTGAGACAAACTGCGTGATGATGTGAGACGTTTCATATGATTATATGATATATCCCATTTAATAATATGTGATATCCCATGTGATGATATGAGATGTCCCATGTGATGAAGTGAGACAAACTGCGTGATGATGTGACACGTTTCATATGATGATGTGATATATCCCATGTGATAATGTGTGATATCCCATGTGATGATATGAGATGTCTCATGTGATGAAGTGAGACAAACTGCGTGATGATGTGAGACGTTTCATATGATGATATGATATATCCCATGTGATAATATGTGATATCCCATGTGATGACATGAGATGTCTCATGTGATGAAGTGAGACAAACTGCGTGATGATGTGAGACGTTTCATATGATGATATGATATATCCCATGTGATAATATGTGATATCCCATGTGATGACATGAGATGTCTCATGTGATGAAGTGAGACAAACTGCGTGATGATGTGACACGTTTCATATGATGATATGATGTATCCCATGTGATAATATGTGATATCCGATGTAATGATATGAGATGTCTTATGTGATGAAGTGAGACAAACTGCGTGATGATGTGAGGCGTTTCATATGATTATATGATGTGATAATGATATCCCATGTGATGATATGAGATGTCTCATGTGATGAAGTGAGACAAACTGCGTGATGATGTGAGACGTTTCATATGATGATATGATATATCCCATGTGATAATGATATATCATGTGATGATATGAGATGTCTCATGTGATGAAGTGAGACAAACTGCGTGATGATGTGAGACGTTTCATATGATGATATGATATATCCCATGTGATAATATGTGATATCCCATGTGATGACATGAGATGTCTCATGTGATGAAGTGAGACAAACTGCGTGATGATGTGACACGTTTCATATGATGATATGATGTATCCCATGTGATAATATGTGATATCCGATGTAATGATATGAGATGTCTCATGTGATGAAGTGAGACAAACTGCGTGATGATGTGAGGCGTTTCATATGATTATATGATATATCCCATGTGATAATATGTGATATCCCATGTGATGATATGATATGTCTCATGTGATGAAGTGAGACAAACTGCGTGATGATGTGACACGTTTCATATGATGATATGATATATCCTATTTAATGATATGTGATATCCCATGTGATGATATGATATGTCTCATGTGATGAAGTGAGACAAACTGTGTGATGATGTGAGACGTTTCATATGATGATATGATATATCCCATGTGATAATATGTGATATCCCATGTGATGATATGATATGTCTCATGAAATGTTGTCATTGTCTTACCCTGACGTGACCTGAAACAAATTCTTTCAGTTTAATGAGTGTTCTGCCGACGAATACAATCTACATGTCGGCATGTCAGAACGTCACCGTGATGAGGAAGGAAAACCTGCGGATGCTCGACTAACGCAATATACAGTTGACAGACAAGGCGTCACTCAGTGCTATATACACTTGAACACAAAATGTATTGGAATGGAGATCGATTTAGCTGGAGTATTGCTAAAAACAGTGTGAAAAAGGCCGATTTCATTCAGTAACATTGGATTATCCTTGTTTAATGATTCCTAAACACATGATCATGAGTCAGAATCGTACGATCGACTCTACTTTAAGCAAAGATTTAGGAGGACTATGGAACGAGCTTGTTTTCATTCATTCGGTAGAGCCACTAGTTTACCACCAGTTTTGACAATAAGAAACGTATAACATACGCAAGGCGGTATTACTACGTGAATATAATCTAGTACACGGGTGATTGATTTCTACAGCCCTGTATTGCTATACCCTATACATGAAGCTGACTCACACACCACTGAAACAATTAAGATCATCATCAATAGCAGGAAGGGCTTTCTCCCCGAATGTCTTGACAAGGATGGATTTCTTCCTGTGCGTATATGCACCTCAGCACGTATCCCCAACCTTATAGTGATCTACTGGATCTATTTCTCTGTCCAGCACTTACGGTGGAATGTGTACATATTTCCGCTGACCTGTGAATAGCCTGTTGTTATTGAAACACAGTGCGCTCTTGCCAGAGACTGATTGTGTTTTGAAGTGGTGCTTTCAGCTTTAAGAAAAACAAGGCGGTTCCAGTGGGGTCAAGCATTTGAGCACCTGTGATATATTTTGACTCAGGGTAACCCACCCAAAGGCGTGATCTCGTATAAGATGGGTGTAATAGGATTTATGTGCAGGCATATTCGCGTGTGCGTGCGCGTGTGCGTGTGCCTGTGAGTGTGCATTTGCGTGTTTGCATGCGATTGTGTGTGTGCGTGTGTGTGTGTTTGTGTGAGTGCATTGCTCCCTAATTGAGTGTCCGTTTTGCAATTAA